ATAGCAAAAACTGAAAAATAAACCTAAATAGAAATATTGTTAATTTTAACTAAAACTAAAAAAATTCATTTGCATTAATTGATATAAAGCTGAAATAAAATACAAATAAATACTAGTTGAAAAAAATAAAAAACTTAAAAACATTGGCAATTTAAAAATAAAGCTAAAAAGAAATATCAGAATAAAAATGACAAAAGCACATAACAAATTGACTACATAAATACATACATTAAATACTATAATAGTATATAAATAATACTTGGGCAAGTACATATTCTCAAGTCAGATGTCAATTTTATGTATATAAATGTTTTATGTTATAAAACCAGTTCACAAAGACCCATTCCTTTGAAATGCAAATGTTTGTCTGAAATTCTCTATGGCTTCCTCCTTTATTTCATTGTGAGTATATTATTTTCAAGAATGGCATTTTTTTGTAAGAACAAATCACAAACTTAATTTTTCGACTATGCACAGGAGCAGTCCAACGTCCGGTGCCAAAGGCAGCAGTGGAGGACATAAGCCTGGGGAGGCGGGTGAGAGCCAGACCAGAGAGGAGCCCACAGGACAAACCTCAGAGCAAAGTGAGTCGACAACCACTTGCCCATTGCTACAGAAGTTGTGTAGGTTGTGTGGCCTATTTTGGAGGTTATCTTAACTTTTCTCTCTCATAACCAGGTTCAAGCTCACCCTCAGAGAGTCAACCCACACCCGATGGGGGCCAAACTGCAGACAGTGGCACAGAAAAGACCTCCATCGGCTCTCAAAACAGCACACCACTGGCGGCACCACCAGAGGGCCTGTCTACTGAAGACACGGCTCGTCCCAGCACTCCTTCAGAGGAGCTCCAGGCTGCTGGTTCGGGGGAGCTGAGTGAGCGGTGCAGGAGGAGCGAGACCGCAGGAACGGGTGGTCAGGGTTCGACTCAACCATCCCGCAATCAGGACTCTGATGACAGCGACGACGACCCCATCCTTATCCCTTCAGCCAGGTACAGAGGAGGGCCGGGACAGAGGTATGGACTCTCGTCATGTCGAGATGTTTAATCATTCAAATCATCACAATGTGTAGGCAAATGTTATAACAGACGGGAAGTCCCATAAAACATGAGCATGTTTGTTAAACAGTGTTTATCCTTTGGACAGTCATAAGTAAAATGCTACTCTTCTCATTAGATTTAATTACAGAGGATCAGCTGTAGGTGATAGGCTGATAAGGTACTGTAATGTTTCTGAGATGGCCACTTATATAATCTAATTGCAAGGTGTGCAGATTTGATTTAATTTTAATTAACCTGGTGTTCATATTGTGTGGCTGTGTAAAATATGTTATTAACTATATAATATATGTAATTAAGTAGTTCCTGTTAACTTCACTGCCTGAGAGTGCACAAAATGTTTGCGTAATGTTTGCGTAATGACCCTTTGGTTAGTTACTAACCAAGCAAATTAATTTCATGCACGAATTTACAAGTTACTTTAGGTATAGTTGTTTGGAGTTCAGATTTTCAATGTTGAAAACAGTAGTGCTGCTTGATATTATTCTATTCATTCTTTGATAAATAGACAGTTTAAAATAACAGCATTTATTTGAAATGGAAATTTTATTATAGATGTCTTTACTGTCTCTTTTGATCAATTTAATGCATCCTTACTGAATAAAAAGTAGAACTTTTTTAAATTCTTACTGACCCAAAACTTTTGAACAGTAGTGTATATATTTTCCACGATTTCCCAAAAATACCAGTTACTGTCAAAAAACTGTGCTTCCACGACTCTCTACAAACTAAGGCGATTCATCAGATTCACTCAGTAAAACTTTTGTTCTCTTAAAGAGACCGTTACCAAAATACAGTTCTATAAGTTGCGCTGTATTTCCATGAAATATCACTTTTAACTATTATCCATTCAACCTGACCACAATCTGGCTTTTTTCGGATATATACGTTTTAGTAAGCTTAGCTCACCAAAAAGATTTGAAGCCACATGGGAACTTCTCTTAGACCATTTGGAAGAAATCTAATGATTCTGTAACCCCCCTTTCTTTTTGCCTGTGCATTTGTTTTCCTCTACTTTGAAAAATTATCTGGTTTATAAAGCAATACTGAATATAGTTGTTTTTTCTTTTTTTACGTTTATGTTCAATATTATCAGTAATTGCTCTTTCTGAGGCAGTTCAGCTGTTATTTATTTATGAAATATAAAAAAAAAACATAATTATATGAATTTAACGCACATAAAGGTTAATGCTTGATAGGTGAAGAAGCATCTAGATTGTCTGCAAAAAATTTATTCAGATCAAATAATTGTGTCTCGCACAATGCTGTAAGCTTATGAAAATTTGACCATCCCTGACTAATATAGTGTTGAGCTGCTGTTTTAAAGTTGATTTTTCATAAGCATTATTCTGCATGCTCCACTTTTCATAGACGCTCCGCCGCGGCTCGGATCCAGGAGCTGTTCCGCAGGAGAAAAGAACGGCGAGAGATGGAAGAGAGTGAAACTCAGAATATCAGGAGACCCTCTGTCAAGATGATGTACAAGGGCCACCGCAACTCCAGGACCATGGTAGGCTGACTGTTTATTGTCTTATGTATATTGTACACAAAAGCAGCTTTCTGTTACTTCTTATTAGTTCTAGTCATGTTTTGCAAAGAACCATACACAGATATTACATTAGCCTTTACTGACCTGGTTGTACATGTAGATTAAGGAGTCGTGTTTCTGGGGGAATAACTTTGTGATGAGCGGCTCGGATTGTGGCCATATCTTCATCTGGGACAGACACACGGGAGAGCACCTGATGCTGCTGGAGGCCGACAACCATGTGGGCAACTGCCTGCAGCCTCACCCTTATGACCCCAGTGAGCAAAACATACCTAAAAACAAAAGACGGAGAGCCAATAAAGATTTTGCTTTAGATAATCACATCATTTGGTCTGACTTTTTTTTTTTGCAGTTCTTGCTTCATCTGGAATTGACTATGACATCAAGCTGTGGTCGCCTTTAGAACAGTCACTGTCATTTAACAGAGTCCTTGCCGAAGAGGTATGGACAATGCTTTCTGTTTGAATTTGTGAATAAAGTTCTGTTTTGATCCTTTAGACTTTAAAATATGTATTTAAAATGCATGTGCTAACACAGACCTGCTGTTTGTTTCGAGATGTAATTAAAATCCCCAGTAGAGGGCACTAGAGCTCTAAGTACTGTTTTTTTCTATATATGAAATAGAGGCATTTTAAGGCAGTATGTCTATGCTGTAGCTATAGGAGTAAGTGTCCATTTATAGAAATCTACATGTGAATAGTTGGCAAACTTGTGGATTTAATTTCCTGATTTGTTTGTGTGCTGTAGGTGATTGCTCGTAATGAGTTAATGCTGGAAGAGACGAGGAACACCATCACTGTTCCTGCTTCCTTCATGCTCAGAATGCTGGCATCATTAAATCACATCAGAACAGGTGAACTTTTTAGTGTTCTTTTTTTAACTCACTGACTGTATACATACAATTAGATCCAAAAGTCTCGAGTTCACATTGAAAACTTGGCTTTTTTCACTTAAAGCTGGAAAAAATAATTAAATAAAAATAAAAACATTTCTGGGGTCGGTATGATTTTTTTTTTTTTTAAAGAAGTCAAGAGTTCATGCAGCTTAAAGGCACAATATGTAAGATTTTTTTATTCAAATATCCAAAAACCACTAGAACAGTGTTATATATTTTGCTGACTTGTGTACTTGCATTATCCCAAATATTTCGAAGAATGTTTAAATCCAGAGAAATAAGCAATTTTAACATAACCCCTCGATTTCCGGTTGTTTTGTAAAAAACATGGCAACACCAAAGACGCTTTAATATGTTGTGCGTTTTAATAGACCGTAGACGACCGCACAGAGTAGCATTATAACAGAACTTTCAAATGTATCTAGTATGATAAAACAGCGCTGCTTTTTTTTCCACATACGCACGACCGGAAGGAGCGGAAGCGGTCGACTGTGGCATAATAAAAGCTCCGCTGCTTTCGAGCCGTGTGTTGCGCTCGTTCAGCGGCCTCGTTTTGCTTCGATGGCTTCCATCCTCACCCTGCTTCATTCTACTACGTTAACAAATCATTAGCTCATCCATGAACATGATTTCTGCCCGAGTCCCGTCAGATTGCATCGGCTGTGGGGATGAAGACGACAGCTCCCATGATTCCACACTCAGTCACGGCGTCATCAAACTACACCTTTGCCTCTTTGTTTATTTTGAATACGCGCCCTCTAGCAGCGAAAATTACATACTGTGCCTTTAAGTGCTGTTGTCATTAAAGTAAAAGACACCTAAGAAATTTGGCCTAATTATCTTTAAAGATAATTTAAGAAGAATAAAATCTCATTTATCAATGATATTTACACTGCTTTTTCTTTTTTAGCTGGCCAGTGTTTATTAGTGGATACTTACTCCAGCTTTTGGGTTTACCACCTTGAACAGGTGTCTAAATGACCGATCTTTCTTCCTCTTTCCTTCTGTTAATCTCAGACCGTGTGGAGGGTGATCGTTCAGAAGGCTCTGGACAAGAGAACGAGGATGAACAGTAGCCCTCCTGCTACAAGTGAATGTTTTTTTGCTACGGTGCACTTGAGCATTTGAGATTTGTACAAGTTACAAAATAGAGTATTTCCTTATTAGTTCAGTTTTTGGCATTATTATTTTTTAATGAGACTTTTCTTACCAATTACTCTATATGAGAGTAAACTGCGTCTGGGGAGTTCATGCAAACCAGATGATATGTAAGAAATCGAAAGATGTGACTGGACAGCTGGTGTTTGAGAGTATTTAAGTGCAATATTAATTTGTTAAATCAAACGGTTGAGCTTTGAGCGGTGTTAAGTGTGAAATCTTATTGTAGCCTCAAATGAAGAACTCAGATGTTTGTATACCAGGAATTATGCATGTCAAGCTTGAGTTTGCTAAAAACATATTCTCTAAGTCTTTACCAATGTTGTGTATAAAAATGGCTCTTTTTTGTCATTACTAAATCTTGCGTTGCAGAGGGATCTTCTGCCTAACCCCAATTTACAGGTACTACTTGCAATATTTCATTATCCAAAACAGCCAATACACATTGTTACACTGCAGAATGTTTATAAAAGTTTATTAAAATGAGAACTGTTTTTGACTCCGTCTATACATAAAACCCACTGCTGTCTAGCCAAATGGTTCTAGCGTTAGTTGACAGGTCGTGTTTCTCTCTCCTAACAGCACAGATGGCCTTTGTTGTGGCAGCTGTTGGCTTGAGCATTCTGCTAAGTGACTAGTGATCGCTGGGAAAAGCTAAGATGAAATATCTCCTCGTCTATTAGCATGCCATTCTATGCTAAACTCATTCAGCACTGTTAAGGAATGCAAGCCATCTCCTGAAATTCAGATTGAGTTCCGGTTCCTTTTCAAACCATGTACCAGAGGACAGTTTAAACATTAAATGTGTTGTGATTCAAACAAAACATGACTGAAAGCTTGAGTACCCATAAAACATGTATTAACAGTACAAAAAAACAAACAAAAAAAAAAACATGTGCTGTGGTTTGCAAACAAATAATGCAGCCATTGACAAAGAAGCCTATTAATATTGGTATATAACTGACTGGCATAATGCAAAAAAAGAAGATTCCACAGGAATGATTAATCCTTACTGAGTACACTAACCAAAATAGTAAAAACAAAAACACAGATGTGAGAAGTCACTGATCAAATGTAACAAAAATCTTCAAGTGCCATTGTACCAATGACTTCAGTATTGGCATTGCAGATGCTTTCTCGCACCATTACATTCAGTCAAAACATTTTAATCAGATTTTCCACCAAAAACTATGGATAAAACAGGGTATAAGGGTATTCTACCTTTTATTATGCCCAGTATCTCTCTCCCTCTACATGATTCTCTGATGTTAATTCAATGCCTGAAGAAATATTTTATAATGCGTAAGGGCCTGAAAGGTTATTTCTTTTGTCCACGTCAATATAACCCCCTAGACATTTGGTATATTTTCTTTGAACCTTGTGGCACTTAAAATAATTTAATATATTAATAGACCTGAACTTAAAACGGTGGAGAGGAGAGCTCTAGGATAATCATTCTTACAAACTGTCAGTATGTATAAAATGGAGTGGTTAACAGTTTCCTTCTAAGAAAAGAGTAAACATAAGACACACAGTACCCAACACAGGCGAAATACCTGACAAATATACGACGGCTGTACATGACTTTACAATAACTTTTATGTTACAAAAACATAACTTCTTCTGATGAGTGACAGTAGGGCTTCTAGTACCTGATGCCTTGCAGGTACAGCCATCATTGTAGGTCTTTGGTCTCTCCAAGGCAAGTAGCAGCAGTTGCTAGCTAAAATAATCAAATTGATGTTCTTTACCTAGTATGTAAATTACACATGAATCACTGTATATCTGTAAACATTTACCTTATGCGTTCCTTTAATGTTCTGTACCTTTAAAAGCTGCAGATTACACAATCTGTTCCATTTACAGAGTCAAAGAACTACATAGAAGTTTCACCTATTTTTTCCTTACGCTCTTCATCATCATCTTTAACTATTCCTTCATCGATGCTTTCCATCCTGAGTCTCTGTCCATCCAGGTAACGGGGAGCTCTCTGTGTGTTTCGTACTGTGAACAGACTTGTTGGAATTTGAGTCCATTCCCCAAAGAGTTGAAGCTTGGCATCGTTCTCTATAGCCTTAGCCAGAGAGGACGCAAAGCTGTCCAAAGACTTGTGGATGTCTGCTGTCACTTGGACTACTGAGGGGTCACCTTGAGGGAAAAGAAACGGTAGAACATTAAAATACTGACACTTTAAGACGCCTCTTTGACAAAGCTCTATGTATGCAGGGTTTCTGCAGGATTTTTAAGCTCAAATTTAAGACTTTTTAAGACCTGCACAAATAAAATTAATACCATATGAGCGGGTTAGGGCAATGTCTATAGTAACATATTAAACTGTAAAATGACTGTAAAAAGCATGATTTACAGTTTAGATACAAGTTTTCACAAAAACAAAAAGTTTTATAAAATGCTCACATCTCAGCTTGTCTAACAGACATTTCTTGCTGGATGAAGGACCACCTTCCATCACCTTCAACTCAACCTTGCCAAGACAGAACTGCTTGTGGTTCCATCAAACCCATCGTTTCATCACAATTTCACCATCCAGTTAGGCACATCAACCATAACTCCTTCAAAAACAGCCAGAAACCTTGGAGTTATGATTGATGATCAGCTGACTTTCTCAGACCACATTGCTAAAACTGCCTGGTCCTGCAGATTTGCTTTATACAACATCAAGAAGATCAGGCCCTTTCTTTCGGAACATGCTTCACAACTCCTTGTTCAAGCTCTTGTTCTGTCCAGGCTGGACTATTGCAATGCTCTCTTGGCAGGATTCAAGGCATTAATGTTTGCCTGCAAAATCACCACTGGCTCTGCACCCCTTTACCTCTATTGACTATTTGACTTATGTGCCTCTAGAAGCTTGCGTTCTGCAAGTGAACATTGCTTTATTGTTCATCTCAAAGAAGCACAAAATCACTTTCACAGACTTTTTCATTAACTGTTCC